TGCAGTCAGTTTTGAAAGTCCATTGCATTCCCTAAACAAATAAAATTAACTTTCAGCTCCAGTTACCCAAGAAAGAATCTTGGCTTGCTTTGTAACAACTGATTTGGTGCCACCTTCTACAGAAACCTACAGTTTAAATGAATTATACTTTCCATTCAGCTAATCTAATTAGGAAGAAGCCACCTGAAACATGAACATGTAATTAGGAAAACATACAGTTTATGGTGAAAAGCAATTAACAAAATTATTTTTCCTACACACAAGATTATTTAAAGAATGCAGGCAACCAGTGGTTTTAAAGCATTGGAAATAGAGCAAAATAAATCAAGGATAAAATGCAAAGTGCATCATAAAATATTCATACATACCTTTGGAACGCACTTTGGCAGATTTCTTAAAATACTTTTTAGACTTTTTATGTTTACGTCCTTAGCAATGCAAGCAAGCAAGACATACAGAGAGAGGATAAAGTGATGTTAGTCAGAACTAGAGACATGCAGCACTAGAATATAACCACTGTTGGTTAGTAGTATCTTGTGTGGAGAAGAAATAAAAAGTGAAGGAGCAATTTGAAATGCTGAACAATGTAGTACAAACTCTACAATAAAAAAAATGCAACATTCATTTTCAAGTTAAAATGGGTTCCCCTCACAACGAATTCAAAATCATGTCAACTTTTACAACTTTCATCACTTTCATGCAGCTTGATGGGTGCAGAGACATAACAGTACAGTGACTTAAAAATTCAAACAGACTTAGCAGGCTCTATTACATAACATGAAAGTAATCTTATTGAAATTCTCAGTTTAACTTTAAGTTTAAAATCATTAGGCCTATTAAATATATAGAAATTGTCAGGTGAATTAACTTTTGATAACAGGCTTAGTTAACAGGTTGATCAACAAAGTTACAGCTTTTGTACTAAAACAGACAGTGAAAACATGGCAATAAACTGAGCAAAGCAACAGCAAACAGTAGTGGTGAACAATTTTTTTTTGGACTGGTGGAAGGTCTGAAGACAACAGCTCCTGATGCGTACCGAGTTATACTTGGGTATATATGACACAATTTCAAAAACTGGAGATAACTCAAAGCTTGGAAGTATTGCGAATGGTGAAGATAACAATAAACCCCTAAAGAAGAGAGACTTTGACAGAATGGGTGGACAAGTGGCAGATAAAAATTAATGCTGAGCAGTGTGAAGTGATTCACTGTACGAAGAAGATTGAGCAAAGTCAATATAAACTAAAGGGTGCAATTCTAAACCAGATACTGGGAGCTATATGCAGACAAATCAGTGACGGTGAAAAGGCAGGTTGAGAAATCAGTTCTTAAAGCGCACAGAGAACAAAAGTAAGGATATGATGATAAACCCTGGTAAAACTCAAGTTCAGCCACAACTGTAGTAGTATGTACAGTTCTGGACAGCACACTTTTGGAAGGACGTGAAAGCATTAGAAAGGTTGCAGAAGAGATGTATGAGGAAGAAATTCCTCATCCCAGGAACCAGTTATGTCAATAGACTGGAAAGGCTGAGATACTGTCTCCAGAGAGGAAAAAAAAACAGGAGGAGGAGATCTGATAGAAGTGGTCAAAGTCTCAAGGGTCCGAACAGAATATATAAAGAGAAAGCTTTCCTTTTGGTGGAGGGATTGAGAAACACAGAGGATATGATGATAGGCAGAAGAAGCAAATGTAACATCTGGAAGATTCCTTTTAAAACAGAGTATGTGGTTTCAATCTGAAACGCGCAGCCTCAGCACGTGGTGCGGGTAGATTTAACCGCGGCTATCAAAAGGAAATTGGGTAATCAGGGAAGAAAATAAATTGCATGATTATTGGGAAAGGTAATAAAGTCAGATTAGGGGAGTTGCTCTTGCAGAAAACCTGCATAGACATGACAGCCACTAGCTCTTCTCCTGCATTGTAACTGGTATTCTATGAATCTATATAAGGTGGCTGTTGCTCAAAGACTCATCTTGCTGCATTTCTTCCAATTATTTCCCTTATGGCACTCTCACAATCCTGTCACCCTCGTCCCATTGGAGCTGTTATTTCTGTGCCTCCAGTGTCACACAACCACTGATAGGCTGTGATTCAAAGTTGTGTATTTTTAAGGGCAGGCAATTCATTCTCCCACTTCTGAAGCTGACCAGTCACACTTTCAATATCTAACTTAATGTGACAGCAGCTACCTTATGGTTGAAGTAATACAAAGCTATTTTCAAAGTGTTTCAACTTCCATGTGTGTTTATTCAGTCAATCTAGCAAAAGCATATGCATTATTTAGTTTCACTGCTATACAAAGATTGTTTCATTATTTACTGCAAGTTAAGACAAAGAAAAATTTGCCATCTAGACACTATCTTTTACTTTGCAACAGTTCTAAAACCACCGTAGTCCTGCTAGACCACAAGTTGCTCTCTCCGTAGTGACAACTTGTGGTGGTTTAACCTGAGGATGACCTTGCCTTAGGTGAGAAGTTGACGAGGAGTGAACCTCATGGTAACCTCAGCTGATGTGGGAATTGAACCCATGCTGCTAGTGTCACTCTGCATCACAAATGAGGCACCCAGCCAACTGAGCAAAGTACAATCTGAACAAGAAATACATTAGGTCGGCTTCAGAAAAGTGAAATCTATTTTAAATGGGTTTTATTTTTGTACAATGAAGCAGGAGTCACAATAAAGATTCAACTGCTCAGTTCGTAATTCAGTAATTTAATTATATCACAGAGGTTTGAGAATCTCCTTGCTCAAAACTGACAGTATCCATTATCCTGACTGTTTTAACAAGCAGCAAAAATTCTAACTACAGCCAAACATTTTTTAAACAAAGAGCAGAAAATGCTGGAGAAACTCAGCAGGTCTGGCACTATCTGCAGAGAGAAAACACAGTTAATGTTTCGAGTCCTCTGACACCTCTTCAGAACTAGGAGAGAAAACAGAGAGCAATTTTTAAATTTCAATTTGAAGCAAAATACTTTCTACCAAAAGATTTTTTTTAAATCTGCCGTCTAATAAACGCAATCATATATAACACCTTCAAATTCAGTTTAAAAACTTGTCTTAAAAAAAAACTTATTTGAATTCAAATATTGCCCTTTTCGCATGATGAATTTTAATATACTTTAGTACAGATCATAGTCACAGAATCAGAGTCCTACAGCTCAGAGACAGGCCCTTTGGCCCAAACTGGTCCGTGCTGACCAGAATGTCCATCCACGCTAAGCCCATTTCTCTGCACTTGGCCCATATCCTTCTAAACCTTTCCTATCCATGAATTTGTCCAAATTTGTCATTTCTTGGCCCACTTCCCCAGCTGATTAAGATCCTGCTGCAATTTCTGATAACTTGTCTCACTGTCCATGATATTTTAGTGTCATCCACAAACTTACTAATCATGCCTTGTAGATTCTCATCCAAATCATCAATACAGATAACAAATAGCAATGGGCCCAGCACTGATCCGAGGCACATGACTAGTCACAGGCCTCCAGTCAGACAGGCATTCTTTCCAGTATTACTTTCTGCTTCTTACCATCAAGCCAATTGTGTATCCAATTTGCCAGCTCTCCCTGGATTCCATGCGACCTAATCTTCCAGAGCAGCCTACCATGTGGAATCTTATCAAAGGCCTTACTGAAATCCACATAGGCTACGTCTATCACCCTGCCTTCATCAATCTTCCTGGTCACATCAAAGAACAAGTTTGAGAGGCATGATCTCGCACGCACAAAGCCATGCTGACTACTCCTAATCAAACCCCATCTTTCCAAATGCATGTATATCTTATTCCTCAGAATGTTCTCAAGTAACTTACCTACCACAGACGTTAAGCTTACTGGTCTATAATTCCCAGGGTTTTCTTTGCAGCCCTTCTTGAATAAGGGCACCACGTTCGCTACCCTCTAGACATCCGGGACTTCACCAGTGGCTAACAATGATGCAAATATATCAGCCAGGGCCCCCACAATTTCTGCCCTAGCCTCTTGCAAAAAAAAAGCATTTTGTATCTTTAGATTTCTAAATTTAACAATTGTGCACACCTGACTTCGAGCATTATTACAATGTTTTCCTGGCCAGCTTGCCATCACAACAAAGTAAAAACTAATTCATTCAATGTTCTGTTGCCAATGTCCTGGATAACATAAATTATATTCATTCATTATTCATGTGCTCATGGTCCTATGCTTCTGTTCCAGCACTATCTCACACTTAAGAATTCTCACCCTTCATGCAAATCCCTTCCCATCTCTGTAACCTTGTCAACTGTTAAAGCACAAAAGGACTTTGTCCATTTGGGTATCCTTTACATTACATCCTTCATCTGTGGATGGAATCTGTGCCTGTCTAGGCACAAAACTCTCAAACTCACTCCTGAAAAGGTGGCTCAGTGGTTAGCACTGCTGCCTCAATGCGCCAGGGACCCAGATTCAATTCCATCCCTAGGCAACTGTCTGTATTGAGCTTGCACATTTCCCCTGTGTCCACATGGGTTTCCTCCAAGTGTTCCAGTTTTCTCTCATCATCCAAAGATCCAAAGGTTAGGTGGATTAGCCATGCAAAATTGTCCCATAGTGTGCAGGGATGTACAGGTGAGGTGGATTAGCCATGGGAAATGCAGGATTTCAGGACTGGGTGGGATGTTCTTTGGAGGGTCAGTTTGGACATGTTGGGCTCAATGGGATTCTATGCTTCAATGAAACCTCCTTGCTGCTCTCTTCCTTTAAAAATTCTACTTGAACCAATCTCACTCTTCATATTCTTTGTGGTTCAGTGTCAAATTTTGTCCAATTACATATCTGTTAAAAGTCCTTTGTGCATTTACTAAGTTAAAGACAGCTTAAAAATTTAAGCTGGTGTTGCAATTGTATAGAAAAATTCACAAAAAGCTGTGCACATGTAATCCAGTTCACACTTAATGCCCATAAATATTCCCTATTCAGCTAAGAAATAAGAACAAGTCATGAGGAATGGAATTTAGTCATACTACCCCTTGAGTCTCCTCCATCATTCACAAAAAAACCAGCAAGATGGACTCAACTCGATATTCCTTCCCAATCATCACATCATCCAATTCTCCTCAACTCCAATGATCTATTCCAGCCTTGAATACACCCAACTGTCAAAATGATTTCATTTTCATAAAACCATACTGATTCTGCCTATACATGGTATGATGTAAGCACCCTGGCGTCACTTCCTTAATAATTGATTCCAGCATCTCCCCAACTAGCATCAAGATATTTTTCACATCAAGGTCACATTTGACTGAGTGTGGCATAAAGGACCTCTAGTGAAACCAGGGAAAATTCACTGCTGGATGGAGTCATGCCTGACACAGGGAAGCTACCTGTAGTTGTTGAACATCAGTCATCTCAGCTCTTGGACATCTTTGCAGACGTTCTTTAGGGACCAAATATCTTCAGCTGCATCAAAAAGTTATGCTACAACATAAGGTGAGAAGAAGGAATGTTCCTGATTGTGCAATGTTCAGCACCATCCACAAATCCTCAGATGCCGAAGCAGTCCATGATCAAATACAACCAGACCTTAATGGCAGGTTTGGGCTGACTAGTGACATGTAACATTTGTTCCACACAAGTGGCAGGCAACGAACATCTCCAGCGTGAAAGATTCTAACCATTACCATCCCCAACCCCCAATCAACCTAATGGGGGTTACTACTGATCTGAAACTCAACTGGACCCATCATATAAATACAGCAGCTACGAAAACAGGTTAAAGCCTCGGGATCCTGCAGTGAGTAAATGACTCACCAAAGCCTGTCCACCAACTACAAGGCCCAAGTCAAGGGTGTGATAGAATACTTCGACTTGCCCAGATGACTCCAATACTCAAGATGCCTGACACCATCCAGGACAAAGCAACCCACTCACTGTTTGTGGATGCAATACCATTCACCCAGTCAATCATCCACTAATGCTCAGTAACAAGTGTGTACCATGTATAACATGCACTGCAGAAATTCACTAAGGTTCCTTCAACAGCGCCTTCCAAACTCATGACAAAATACTATCTAGAAGGACAAGGGCAGCAAATACATGAAACACCACTACTTGCAAGTTTCCCCTCAAGCCACTCAGCATTCTGATTCAGAAATATACCACTGTTCCATCACCATCACTGGGTCAAAATCCAGAAATTTCTTCCCCAACAGTCCTGTGGGTGTCCGATCAACAGTTCAAGAAGGTAACACCACCAACTCCTCCGAAGTAATGGATAATAAACACTGACCCGGACAGTGACACCCACGTCCCACAAATGAATTAGAAATTAACTGGCTTGTAATTCCCCTTAATCTATCCCTTTCCTTACTTGAACTGTGGAATTACATTCACAAGCTACCAATCCATTGGATCATTTTTGAATCCTGGGAAATCATAGATGATAGATCATAGATCATAGAATCCCTACAGCGTGGAAACAGGCCATTCGGCCCAACAAGTCCACACCGCCCCTCCGAAGAGCATCCCACCTAGATCCATTCCCCTAATTTCCCATGTCTAACGCACCTAACCTAAACATCCCTGGGCACTATGGGCAATTTCGCATGGCCAATCCACCTACCCTGCACATCTTTGGACTGTGGGAGGAAAGCAGAGCAACCGGAGGAAACCCACACAGACATGGAGAATGCGCAAGCTCCACACAGACAGTTGCCCGAGGGTGGAATCGAACACGGGTCCCTAGTGCCGAGAGGCAGCAGCGCTAACCACTGAGCCACCATGCCGGAAATATTGGGAAATCATGACCAATGCACCAACTATTCCAGCAGACTATCTTTCAGGACTTCTAATTGTAAACTATCAAGTCCTATCGCAGTTTTGCTACATCAATAGATGGCACTCTAACATGGCGACATTAATCTACTCATCACTGTGCACTGCTCCCTCCATAACAACATATTGAAAACAGTCACCTAGTGATGGATGCAATGTCACATGTCCAACATGTGAAAAAAAACTCGATGAAGCCTAACATAGCAGGAGCAAGCTAAAGTATTACTTGGACTCAAGGAAGAAATTAAAACTCAGAAATGTAGTTTATCGGGGACAAGTTCAGCCAGTTTTCTTACATTAATGCTAATTGTACATTATGGAGACATTGAAATGCCACCAAAATGGCAGGATGAGTCGTTAACTAATGTCAAGGTTAAATTCCAACTTTATAACTCCCCTTCCTATAGATGAAGTTGGTTTCTGAGAATATGATGTAACAGTGAAGTTTTGCAAGGGAGAAGTGTTCTATCACTTGTTGGTGCTTCTCGTATACCATGGCTGTGTTCTATCTCTGCCACCAACTCTATAGTCCAGCATCTCTTCTACTGTTATGACTGAACAAATCTTGTACACTTAGTCCCTTCTACATCCATTCCCACTCCTGTCATCCCACTCATTAGAATTTTGGAAACTATTCAACATGCTAGATAATGAAAATGTTTATTCTTCAAAAGGATCAGGAGAAACTTTGACAAATTTGCTGTCAGATATTAGACTTCGCAGAGTGGAGAAGAATTGATGAAAAGTTCCAACCTAAACCGTCAAGATCCAGATCAAACCAATACTCAACAGAAAGATAATAAGATATATGGATCGGATTAATGTCATCAGACTTGAAAATCAAAAGTCTACAGAAGTCAGTACGGTGCGCTGTGTCAAGAAAGAGAGATCCCATGCAGTGTGACACAGTTGGGGAATTTAAAGCAACATGGGAATAGAACTGGTCACTGTTTCTTTTCTTTCTCCATTTTAAAAGTTTAAAATTCAGTAGTCTAGTTGAAAAGGTTAACAAGGTAGCTGATTCAGCTGACTGAGGGACAGTTATCCGTCAGAGAATCACCTGAACTCTGAATAGGTTCTTAATAAGTGCTAGTTATTACTGAAGCTGAACTAGTGAATCATCTCA